TTTGGGTAAATGGTCTTCCTTCTGTTTCACATTGATTATATTTTTTGGGTATCATTGTTCATCTCAGTTTCAAAGTTTTTTTTGTTCCTGACCTAACGACAGAACTGGAGTCATTTTCAAGCTGTGGTACTAAGAGTTGCTCCAAAAAAAATGAAGACAAAACAAAACAAAAAGATTCAGCTGTAATAAAATTTTTTGCAAATATTTTAAAAGATGTTGAGGATTCTGATTACATTGTTGGGACTATTTCTTGTCTGCTTCTTTCGTTTGCTTCCCTGTTTACAGGCTGCGGCTCTTTATGCCAAAATAAAATAACAAAAGCTGCGTGTTAGGGTTCTGTTTGTGGGGAATGTTTTGTGTTTTCCTTTTTAGCTTCTCCTTCCACCACTAGATGGTGCCCCTTCCCCGTTTTGGCCTGGAGGGCTGCTTCCGGTTTTCCTCCCACATCTGCGGCTCGTTGGGTCATCACCAGAGGAGTATTTGAGCTGCAGACTGTCACCACCTCGATGCCAGAGTGTTTGCCGGTATTGGGTACTCTAGCCCCACTGAGTTTAGCAGAGTCTAATCTTTGAGTTTTTGTCTCCCAGTTTTTGTCCACATTTCTAAACTTTTGTCTCCTTTGTTCTCCGGTAGGATTACCCTCCTGATCCGCTGGATAAGCCTGGTCCTTCTACCCCCTTGGAAGGCAATATTCGACTCTCTCTGAGCAAGGGGAAACCTCCACCAGATCCGTTCAAGCCCTCCTCAGGAAATTCTGTGACAGTCCGCTACTCTGCTCCTCTGGACCCTACCATTAGTGTGCCTATCCGCCCTCCGAGTACAATCTTCTCTGGACAATTTCCCCACAAACTGGACCCAGGAATCAACCTAGAACCCCTTTATGTGAGTCTAAACTGAACCATTCATCTGCTTCGATCTATTCCCTACGGTCCTTGAACTTACCACTCTTATCTTCCCCTAGAGAATTTCCGGTTCCGCTGGATTTCCCCCACTCTGAGAAAACCCAGTTTAGTCTCACTGAGAACCTCCTTTGTTTGTCTTTCCCCCCAAGCTGAGAAAACCCAGTTAGGTCGCTCTGAGAACCTCCTTAGTTTGGATTTTCCCCCCAATCTACAGACTGCATGGAAGTAGTTCTGCTCCGTACCTCTTGGTTCGAAAGGAGAATAACTTGTCCAAGACATTGCTGTTGGGGATGATTTTGGTTAATTTTACAGAGAATTTCTTTGTTATTCCTGCTTTATAAAGGTACAGGGAGGTAATCTAACCCAGCATACTAGTGAAAATAACTCTTACATATAAACTAGAAGGATAAAATTCAAGAAATGCTCTAACACGAAAACAAGAGGACTGAGAAGTTAACAAATCAGGCAAAGCCTCATTTTCAACAATAAGAAAAACAATGAAAAACGTAATTCCAGAGGAAACTGAGGTGTAAGGTGTGAATCTCATCTTGCTCACACACCTTTTCAGTGCTATTCTACAAACTGGCAATCTCCACCCCATAACAATGGTTATTGAGGACAATCATTGTAACCTTGGTTTTATCTCACCTCATCCAAAAATGAAGATATTTGTCCCTTTGCTGGCTGTCAGGCTGTTATCTTGCTGTTATAGCCTCTTTTGGAGGAACTGCTTCCTCCCATCTGTGTGTCCATTTAGCCCATTTCACTACTATTTCTTTCACTGAGTAATCATTTCTTCAAACAGCATCTTAACAAGGCCTTTTTGAATATTTTTTTGGTTTTGAATGATGCATTTTAAACCAAAACACACTAATTTATCGTACATTGCCGTTTAAATTGTCTTCATATGATCTTAATACATTACTAAACCAAACAAAGGTAAAACCTCCAGCTTTCTGGACCAAGGATGAATCTAACCATCGGAGGTTTACTGTCCTCTTCCTTACATCTTGGCTGATTTCATTGGATGTTTCCATGATGTCACACAAGGAGCCAAAACATCTGAGGCGTTGCCTTAAAATAAATCCACAGGTGTTCTTCTGTTCAACCCATAGACTTTTGGGTTAATTAGAAACGTACATCATCTGAACATTTCATAAAAAAAAACAAAAAACCTTATATATTAGTGTCATAACCTAAATAATTTGAATAAAATAAATATCTAAGCTCATGAAAATCTAAAAGCTCATATAACAAACTACATCTAAAAGGTTGGTTTTACTTCAGCTCAATTTAAATTAAAATCTAGGTTATTAACTCCAAAGGTAAATCAGATGTATCAAAGTTTCTGAAGGCTACTACTATCTGACCTGCTGTAAAAATAAAGTTTCTGTCTTTGTTCCTTTAAATCAGAAAGTGGAAAAGAGTTCTGTGTCATATCTCTGCAGATAAGTTAAGAGGAAAACAAAGATGGAAAGAATGTGCTTGAAAACAAAGCCTATAGGCAGGCACAGGGGACTTAGTGGTGACATGACTTAGGGGCTATTAATATCTCCATGAGGTTTGCAGCCAGTCATTATTAGGAAAAACTCGCCGCCCTTTTTTTTCTAGTAAGTGACTCTGACAGCTAATCCATTTATGGGCTTTCTGATGGTGTGTATTTGAATCAAGCTTTGAAGTCTCGTTAAGCAGTGAGGAGTGTCGAATTTAAGGCGCAGAAGCTCATCCACTGGTTCGCTACTGATTTATATCAGTCATTAAACATCTGCCATCATAATCTTTGAAAAGCCCCAGGTGTTTGCTGCCAAATGCAGACCTCTTTATTAAAGATGCCGGTAAGGTTACCAGGCATTACGGATCACTCAACTAAGTATTATTTGATTTCAGCCTTATCACCACTGAGCATAGAGCCCCCTGCTCAGGGTCTAAATCTAGCCTAGCAACTCACCTCCTCCCAAACAGGGAACATGCAGAGCCCCTTGTTTCTAACAACAGGAATATTGATGTTTCTCTGTGGGATTAGTCCTGTTTACGTCTAATTTAAGCTGAAATTAAGATTCATCACTTCAGGTAAAAAGAAATGTGATGTTCAAAAGTGGAATTGCTTTTTCATTATTATTAGTCTAATCTGTTATGTCACATATAGTTATAGGACATCGGCTGTTATTTTTTTTGGAATTCAATTACAAATGCAAAAACTGTCATGTTTGCTTAAAAAAAACCTTTTCGCATATGAATCATAAACATTAGCAGCCTGGAGACAGAACCATAAACCCCCTGGGCATTGACAGTACATTATCTAAGCTTGTGACCAGGTTGCTTTCCCAGTGAAGCATGGATGAGTGCTGATGGGGAGCCATCAAAAGCAGGGCAGCAATGACAGGGTGACAAATGTGACATGGATGGGAGATTATCAAGCACAGTGGGAAGAGTGAAGGATGTAAAATGAAGGTTGGAAATGCTCTCTAAAGACGAACTCTCACTCTAAAACTTTCTGGGTTGCTTCTTTTACCCAAATGATGGGTCTCTGTTGCCAGGAAAGAAGTCTGATATTTTTTAACTAAATAGTCTGTAGAAA